CCCCCGACCACCCCCCCCACCCACACACACACTTCCCTGCTCTGCGCCCACTGCTGTCACGTCTCCTTCCCCCATATCCCCTTGCTCCACACCCAGTACTACGACGATGCGGCGGGCATCCTGCGCATGGTCATCCTGTCGGCGGTGGCCCCGCACCGCCTGCTGGCGCCCCCCAACCCGCCCATGTCGCTGTCCGACCCGGCCAACCCGGAGGACGCCATTGGCAACCACGCCTGCCTGGGCTCCATGAGCGACATCCATGAGGGGGAGGAGGACGACGAGGAGGTGGCGGCCAAGGCTGCCCTGTTTGCGCAGCTGGCGGGCACCCAGGAGGATGACCTGACGTGAGCCTGTGTGGTGGTGGACGGGCAGGGGGGATGGAGGGGTCGTGGAGTGGGCCTTGTATGGGCCCAGGTGGGGTGGTGCTTGCCTCTTGGCATGGCGCTCGGGAGCGTCGTTAGTCGGTCAGGCACGCACAGGAGCGTCGTGCGCTACACCTTGCGACCAAATGGAAGACGGGCTCGCAGGCAGGGCATGCAGGAAGGTGCCCCACTGCATGTCCACAGATGCCCTGTCACATGCTCATTGCACTTAGCCACCCTCCACACACACATTTCCCCTTTCTATCACAGGCTTCGTCCCGACGAGGAACTGCGGTGCGTGCTGGCCATCATCCGGCACGGCGACCGCACCCCCAAGCAGAAGATGAAGATGAAGGTCACCCAGGTGAGGGGCAGCAAGTGACGCCTGAGGGCTGGAGCGTCGGCTTCGCGGTCCGGCGTCGACACCATCCCGGCCGCGCTCCCCACCGATGAGCCTGCACATCGCATGGCTCGCCACATGACAGGCCCTCCTGCCCTCCCCCCTGAGCTGCACAGGCCCCCCTCCTGGCGCTGTGCAACAAGTACCTGGACTCCAAGGGCAAGCAGGCCAAGCTCAAGGTGTGCCGCGTGGCTGGGGCACACTGGTGCCAGTGAATCTACTGTTGGGAAGGGTGCCTGTGAGGATGTGCTTCCTTGGGGTGGACGATGGTCCCTACACAAATCTGGTGCTGTTCAGTCCCTGGATGCCTCCACGATCTTCGCGGTGCCTTGACATGTACGGAGCATCCCACCCTGTCCATGGATAACGCCCACAGAGCCCCTCCGAGCTGCAAGACCTGCTGGACGTGGTGCGGCAGCTGCTGGAGGAACTGGAGATGCCTCGGGCAAAACCCGCGGAGGCCAGCCTCCCCGAGGACCAAGCCGCCACAGCAGCGGACGACACCTTGCAGGACGAGGAGTTCCGCGAGAAGTTCCGCATAGTCAAGGTGGGTCGGGAGGGCGCCTTGTAGTGGGCCTGGGCGCTGGGATGAGGCCTGGGTGGCTGCAGGAGGGGGCTGAAGCGCTGGGAGCGAGGCTGGGCGGGCTCGTGGTGGGTCCTGGGCACGCAGCCTGCTGGGACACAGGGCCCCAAAGGCACTGGATGCCGGCTTGCCCCCCCACGCTGACCGGGTGGGTTCAGCCTTTGGCACGCGCCGGCCATGCTGACAGGACCCATCCCACACCAGTCAGCGTTCTGGGCCACCACCCCGCACGCGCTAGTCTCCCTCAGATATATGGGAGCTGAATAGAACGCCACCCCGTTACCCCCCCCCGCCCCCTTCCTCCCCCCGCCCCGTCACAGACCATCCTGGAGCAGGGCGGACAGTTTGCCGGCATCAACCGCAAGGTCCAGCTGAAGCCGCTGCGCTGGGCCTCGCCCGCGGAGGGCGAGCCCGCCGCCCGCCCGCGCGTGGCTGAGGCGCTGCTGATCCTGAAGCACGGCGGGGTGCTGACGCATGCGGGGCGGGGCCAGGCGGAGGCGCTGGGCTCCCTGTTCCGCAACATCATGTACCCGCAGCACGGACCGTCGGGTGGGGGCCTGCTGCGCCTGCACTCCACCTACCGCCACGACCTGAAGATCTACTCCAGCGACGAGGGGCGGGTGCAGTGCTCCGCGGCGGCCTTCACCAAGGGCCTGCTGGACCTGGAGGGGTCGGCGCTGACCCCCATCCTGGTCAGCCTGGTGACCAAGGACACGGGCATGCTGGACGCGTACGGCAAGGGCGCCAGCGAGGACATCCAGCGCGCCAAGGCCGAGCTGTACGCGCAGATGACGCTGGACCCGGAGACGGGGACCTCACGCTGCGCCGCCCCGCACTCCACCACGCCCCTGGTCTCCCCGCCCGCCAGCCCAAAGCCCGCGGAGGGGGTGGGCAGGGGCGGCAGCGCCGAGTCCAGCGTGCACGGCCAGGCGCGGTCGCTGTCGCGCAACGCCTCGGCCAGCGCATCCACCATCCGCGCCGCCGCCAGCGCGCTGAAGCTGGCCCAGGGCACGCTCGCGGGTGAGGTCGGGAGGGGGAAGGGGGTCCCAAGGGGGGGAAAAGGTGGGTTGGAACGGCCCAGGATAGACTCGGGAGAGGAAGGATGTGGGGGAGAAGCACCGGTGCAGGGAGGGGCGGTGCTCGGAGAAGGTTAAGGGAGGGTGCCCAGGGTCAAAGGAAGGCGAGGAGCATGGGAGGCGAGTGGCTTTGGAGGTGGGGCAAGGGCGGCGATCAGGGTAGCACGATGCTGACCCTGCCCGTCGCGTCCTCCTTCCTTCCTGGACTCACGCTGGGCGCTCGCACAAGTGGTGCTCAGGGGAACGCTTGCCGCCTGATGAGAAAATCATGATGCAGCAGCTTCGTCACCTCTCACACACACACCACCACCACATTTACCTCTGCGCCGCAGACTCGGAGGCAGAGGGCTTTGTGGAGGGCGCCTCCAACATCGAGGGGCGGCCCCACATCTTCCCCATGCCCGAGCAGCCGCTGGAGACGCTGAAGACCATGCACGTGCTGCTGGGGGCGCTGGTGGAGGACCTGCACCAGCTGTGCGTGGAGGAGCAGCGGCCGAATGCCGACGCCGGGCGCTCCTACTCCGTCCTCAACCAGGACCCCAAGGACTGGGTGTTCGAGGTGGGCTGGATGTATCTGGTGTTCAGATGAAGTGGAGCATGGGCCCTTGTAGCAAACGTCTGGGGCTGAGGGCCGCGATGTCGTGGGTCTGGGTGTCTGCCCACAGGACGGCGCTTGGGTAAGAGGTCTAAAACAAGGTGCCACCCCCCCCACCACCTCGCACCTCCCCCGCAGGATGACAAGCCGTGCAGCGGCGAGCGGCTGCTCCTGCTGTACGATCGCTGGCGCAAGCTGGCCAAGGCCTTTTACAGCGAGAAGAAGAGCCAGTTTGACATCAGCAAGGTGCCGGACATCTACGATGCGGCCAAGTACGACGCGATCCACAACGCCACCATCATGGGGCCCAAGATCAAGGACGTCTACCTGGTCAGTGGGGGCGCATGGGTGCTGGATTGGACGCTGCTGTTCTCCTTGCTTTCTGCAGTCCCTTCAGGGCCACTCCTCACCCATGCTCCACAGACGGCCAAGGTGCTGGCCGATGCCGCCATCCCCAACGAGTACGGGATCGAGCCGGAGGGCAGGCTCCGCATCTCCACAGCCATCTGCTCACAGGTGTGGAGTCAGAGGTGGAACTGGACAGGGTGGGAAGGCAGGCCCCTGGGGCATCCCAGCGGCATCGAGAGTATCCAGGATGGTGGACCACATGCCTGTTGCGGCAGCAGGAAGCACTGCCACCATGCCGTGACCGCTGAACCATAGCCTCCCACGTTCCTGATACCATCTCAAACACTCTTGGACCGCTCAGCTGCTGGGAAAGCTGCTGGCCGACATGGCGTACATGCGTGAGGAGAGCCTGGCCACAGCAGGGCATGTAAGTTTGACCTGCCCGCTTGAGCGCCTGTCCTTGCTCAGACCCCCCATGGGTTCTGCCGTGCCGCGCGATCCCTCCCCGCGTATAATCGGAAAGCGACGCTGTCTTGAGTACAGAGTTGGAGCTTGTGCTGTGCTTTTTTCGATCCACCCATCCACCCACCCCTCCACAACAGGCCGGGTCTGGAGACTCCCTGGAGTATGAGGTCCCGCTGGGGGCAGAGCCGGAGCCGATGGGCGGCAGCCCCCATGCAGGTGCGGTCGCGCCGAGGCGATGCACCCACCTGCTGGCCACTGCAGCACCTCAGTGCCCATGGGCAGGCAAATGGTGCACGCTCTCCAATTCCTGAGATCGGCTCTCTGTACCCACTCCTCTGCTCATCCTGAAGGCCAAGCATGTCCCCGAACCCCCCTTCCAACCTGCAGAGAGGGATGGGGAGGAGGATGGGGACGACAGCAGTCTGCACCGCCTCTGCCCATCCTACGCAACGGTGAGTGAGACGGGCATGTGCGTAATTGCCCTCCCCTCTGGACAATGCCTAGGCCGCACCCACCAGCTGCAGGCCCAATGCTGTGTCGGCGCGTGAGATACCACCTCGTGACCTCAAGCCCGATCCTCACTCCCTTGGAACAACCCCCTTCCCCCATTTGCCACTCCCGGCGCAGGACATCAACTCTCCACTGCGCCATGTCCGCACCCGCATCTACTTCACCTCTGAGTCCCACATGCACGCGCTGATGAACATCGTGCGTTATGCGCACCTGGGCACCGGTGAGTTGCTTGGGAGGGCGAGCTGCGTGATTGGGCCTGCTATCGGAAGAAGAGCATTTTAATTAAGATGTCACGGCGTTTCCAACGTCGGTTGCCGTGTGCACCCCGGGCAAGCTGAGGCCGGCAGGTATGGCGGTACAAAACCAGGGCCTGCTTTAGCCACAGCAAAAGGACAACACCCCCCTTCACCCCGACCCCGGCTGCGCAGGGAGCAACGGGGAGGCGCTGAGCTCCGTGCTTTCCAGCGAGGGGCAGGAGGTGCTGGCCTCTACGCGCGAGCTTGACTACATGACGCACTGGGTGTTCCGCATGTTTGAGAACAAATCGTGAGTGCTGAGGGCGAGTGGGGGTGAGGGGGAGCGTCATGGGTTTGGTGGCTTTGGTGAGCCAGACTGGGCAAGGACTTGCCTCTACCCCGTCCCGGCCTGCGTATGTAATACCTTTCCCCTGACCATTGATCCCTGCCCCCCCCCCCCCTTCGTCTCAGGCTGCCTCTCAACGACCCGCGCCGCTTCCGTGTCCAAATCCTGTTCTCGCCGGGGGCAGCACACAACCCATTGGAGGTGGTGCCCATCCAGATGAACCACACCCTGCCCGTGAGGGCGCGCGTGCCGGTGCACAGCAAGGGTGAGGTGGAAAGCGCGAATTGCATGCGACCGGTGCCTGCAGAAGTTTGCCTTCAGTTTCAGGAAGGGCTGGAGTCAGCCATTTGTTTAAACCATTACCATGGTCCCGATTTCCCCTCACAGAGGATCCCACGGAGGGCAAGGGCGGCGTTCCACTCGCGCAGCTGGAAAGCACGCTCAAACCTTACGCAAAACCATTCAAGCGGCAGTCGGTGAGTAATGATACCAATGCACAGCCAGCGTGGGCCGGGAGGGGACGGCCAGCTATGCTGATTCAATGGCACTGTATCTTGGGCGCCTGGGATCCTGCCAAGATCTTGGAGCGCCACGACTCAAAATCTTGCACTGCCAACAGTCTCCCTCCCCCCACACTACAGGAACCATACTCCATGCGGGCAACAGAGCTGAACTCTCAGACGTCAGAATTGGATTACTGGATGTAGCTTGCATGTTGTAATAGTGGGGCCTTCCTGGCTTATTTGCGCAGCAGGCTCCGATTTGAAGAGAATCGCTGATTCGATACAAATCTAATGACACGGCGTAGATACTCGCCGGTTCCGAGGGCACGTCGCCGTTTCAAAATATGTTATCCGCGTGTTTACTTCGAGCACAAAGAGGATAGGCACACTACCAGTGCTCGTGCATGCCATTAGGCTTCAAGTCATTACCTCCTGTCTGCCCACACACCATGTCGGGGGCTGTAGTGACGCGAAGGGTACATGACGCCCTCTGTCGACACCAACTCCTCGCTTACGCACGAATGATGAGCGGGGTGGCGTCTCTGGATACCTTGCCCAGCAGCTCTGGCCTCGGGAGGCCTCACGTGCGCATTCCATACGAGGGCGTCCGTGTTGCCGCCCGGCAACAACCCTCCGCCAATGCCTTCCTGCCTTCCTTCAAAGCCCTGCTGGTGGATGCAGCAGGGACTTTGCTGTTGCCATCCGAGCCTTCTGCGGGGGTGAGCATCGCATGCGGAGAGCGCCGAGATCGCATGGGGTGGTCGGGCTTGTTTTCGGATTGGCCATCAGCGGGTGATTGCTATTGCAGTTCAACCAGCCTCCAGGCCCGTCCGGTGTAAAATAATTCTCCATTCCATGCCTAGGTATACCTACGGTATGCACGGAAGTATTGCGACATCCAGCTGACAGAGGCGGAGGTGCTGGACAGGTTTAGGCAGGCTTACAATGCCCCTTATCAGAGGTCCTTCATTCGCTATGTGGGAGATGCACGGCCCTTCTGGTGAGATCTGGATGAACTATGAATTGCACTGTGATTAGTGAGGGAGGCACGTCTCGTGTATGAATGTCCGTTTGCACAAGCTGCGCTGCGCCTCCCTTGCATACCATAGACCCCTCCTCGTCATGCTGCACAGCGTGAATACTCACCCCCGCATTCCCTGAGCAGGAGCGACATCGTGGCAGCTTCTACAGGCTGCCACGACCCCGACTTCCTGGAGGAGGTGTATGCCTACTTTGCGCACGGCGACGCCTGGCGAGTGGCCGACGGCGCGCTGGAAAGCCTGACCCGCATCCGCGCCTCAGGGACCAAGCTGGGCCTGGTCTCCAACTTCGACACCCGGCTGCGCCCCATACTGAGAGAGCTGGGGCTGGACAATGTGTTTGATGCCGTGCTCATCTCCGCTGAGGTGTGTGGAAAGACGGTGGCGCGTGGGTTGAAGCTGTGAACCTGCATGCGTCTGAAAGTATCCTGGAGGCGGGGAGGTCCCCTGCCCAGCAACATTGTGCTTTGCATGCATGTTCAGACTCCCCTGTGGCCCCAAAACAGCAACACCGGCTGAAGGGATCTCCTTCACATCCTCCGAGCCCCAAGCTCCGACACCTCAACCGCTGCGAATTTCTGCCCCCTGACCACCCCCCCTCCAACACACACGCACACAGATCGGCGCCGAGAAGCCCAACCCCTGCATCTTCGAGGCCGCATGTGAGGAGCTGGGCGTGCAGCCCGCCGAGGCCGTGCACGTCGGGGACGACCGGCGAAACGACCTGTTTGGCGCACGGCGGGCGGGGTGCTACGCCTGGCTCTGGGGGCAGGACGTCAGCTCCTTTGCCGACGTGGAGCAGCGCCTGTCCACTGGGAACTTCATGGACAGCCTGACGGGGGTTTGAGGTTGTGGATGATTCAGACTCTGTGCACCGGCTTGCTGCCATCGATTCTGACGCAGGCCAGGTGGATGACTGCTCGAGAATACCTTTTCCACGGGGCCAAGTCCCCTTCTCATCGTACCCATCACCTTGGAGAGCACCCCTGTGTGCAGCCTGAACCCCGCTTGTCACCATATTTCATGGCATTTGCTGAATTCTTTGTCCCCAAACCAAGAGAAATCACCAACATCCCCCTTTGTCCTGCTGGTGTGACTCCAGAATCCATTCCTCCACACTGAGTGTCTGTAACCTGGGAGAGCGCACGCAAGGCCGAGGAAATCACAAGGGGCAGGCGAGGCTATTCCTTCCCCAACAGGAGGGAGGCTTCCGACAAGCCCCTCACCACCCGGCATTGGCCAGGGCCGTGCCGCCATACGCGCCGTACCCGCCGCGGGCCGCGCCACCATCGCCGTACCCCCCGATGGCAGGGCGGGGGGCCGGTGCCCCATACCCGCCTCCGTACCCCTGCTGCTGCGCCGGCGGGGCACCGCCCCTCGCGACCCCGGGCAGCGCCCCTGGCCCTCCCGCAGCGGGCACGGGGGGGCCGAAGATCTGCTCGCCGCGCTGCAGCTTGCCAATGAGGTCCAGCAGCGTGCGCGACTCGGCGCCGTAGTCCGGCGCGGTGGCGGAGACCAGGGAGATGCGGATCTTGGTCTCGTCATTGTACGTGTCCTCAGCCACCTTGAGCTTCATGGTGTACGTCTTGAAGCAGGCTTGCTGTTGAGAGATCGAGTTCGGGGTGGGTGTGAGGTTGAATCGAGATGTGAGGGATCCTCGTGGCTGTGCTATACCCAAAACTTGGCATCTGATATGCACAGGCACCTCGGCAGGCACATCCTGGGTTTGACAGCATCGCCTCTGCCAGGCGGCCGCGCCGCAAGACGCTCCCTTTACCCCAGGGCATGCAAACAACGTCGCCGTCCTCGATTCCCAAACCGCACTCTCCCGTGCTCGCACATCGCAAGCTTCCCGGGCACTTGCACCTGCCCAAACCCCTCTCTAACCCATTCTCACACCTGGACGAGGAAGGCGAAGCGAGGGTTCCCATCCTCGCACAGCTGCCGCAGCTCGCCCGCTGGGACGCCGATCAGCTCCGGGGCTGTCGTATGCATTGTATGGAGTGGATCGTCTCACAAACTGGCGGCAGGCCAGCAACGGTAATACGCTGGTGTGAAGGCTCGTGCCTTTGATATCTACCACTGCGGAAGGCCCCTTTCCTCACCCATCTCACAGCCCTGTCGCATAACCCCACCCCCCCCGCGCAAAACACACCCAAACCCACCGGCCTCGTTGAAGGCTGTCACCCAGATCTCGCCGCTGTGGTCTGCGACCTGCATGGACACGATGTACCGCCAGTCTGGCGTTGCATTCTGACCGCAGCGCTCGCAGTAGCTGGGGACAGGGATGGAAGAGGGGGCGGGGGGGATGAGAGCACGGGGTTGTGGGCACGTACGACGGACGACAGGATGCAGGCAGAAAATCAACTTGTGGCGCGGCCGCACCGGGTGACATGAGCTAGGCCTGGTCAAACTCCCGCTCTCCGCGCATTTTACCCACTCTGTGAGCCATTTTTACTACGGCCCACGCAGGAACCCTACCCCTCCCAACCCTCACACCAGCCTCCCCACATCTGCCTCACAAGTTGCCGTCGCCGGTGTGGTCCTGCAGCTTCTTGTTGCAGGTCTTGCCGTTGAAGGGCAGGGGGCAGGCCGGGTAGTACATGTTTTCGTTGCGCAGGAAGGCGACGGTCGCCACCACCTGTCGATGGGGATCCTTAAAGATGGCCTTGTAGGGGTCCAAGAGGCGTGGGGGGGCGACATCTCCAGTCTGCAGGCAAGTCAGCTGAACGCACATGCGGGGCCTCGGCATCTGGAACCAGCCAAGCACGCTGCTTGTGCTCCGCAGAGTACGTGCTACGGCGCAGACCATCTCCTCGAGCCCAACAACGGCATTGCCCAGCACCCGCACCTGCACCCACGCGGGCTGCCCGCCCAGGCCCAGCCCCTCGTCGGCGATCTGGCTCAGGGTGACGCGGCGGTCGGCGCGCCCACCGCCGCCGCTCGGCTTGCTCAGCGCCGCGGCGGCCTGGGCGCACCCGCCCTGGTCGTACCTGGAGGGCGCGCATGGGAAGGAACCGGGAGCTTGCCTGAGCAATTGATGTTCACAGAGGGCGCCCGGGCGTCGGCACCACGGCAATCGAGGACCGTGGCAACTGCTTCCATCGGCTAGCGAACCCCTCCTAAAACCCCGTCCCAACACCTCAACACCAAGCTTCCGCCTCTCTTTTTCCCCCCAAAATGCCGCACCACGCGCGCAGGCGGGCGGCCTCGGCCACGTCCGGCGGGTCGATGAGCACGGTGGAGGAGGAGACTGTGCTCAGCGTCTTGCCGTTGAAGTCGCCGACGCGCGCATTCTTCACTGCCAGGACGGGGTGGGTCCCTGCGGCGGTGGTGGCCTGCAGGCTGTCGCCCGGGGTCAGCGCGTAGGCGCCCCACAACGTCACCTCGATGGACCGCCCGCTCTCGTCCCGGATGATCATGGAGCGCTTCTGCGTCTCGCCCCCATCACGCTTGGTGATAGAGGTCCAGTCCTGCACGCTGTCCACCACTCCCACCACGTCCACCATCTGGCCGGCGGGAACGTCCTCCAACTGGGAGATGGAGGTGAACTGCAGTGTGGGCGGGGGGGTGAAAGGGGGGAGGGGGGTGGATAATGGATGAGGGTGACCAAGGCTGACCGTGTATGAAATGGGGATGTGTTTACAGAAAGAGGCCTCCAGAAGGGGTCAGACGATCGATCAGGTGCTCAGAATGGCGAGCCTCTCGTGCAATCCTAGCAGCCCTTCAGCACCAAGCATGGCCCACTGAAATCCACATCGATCTCCCCGCCCAGCACTCACATTAAAGTGGAGCTGGGGGATCTCGGCTTCGTCCTGAACAGGCTCTACCTGGCTCCCATTCTCCAGATGGATCTCAAACTGGTGGCGGGTCTGGTTGAAGTTCTGCACCAGGATCGCGGATCGGAAGGGGTTGAAGGCAGGGCTTACGCTCAAACCACGCTGCTAAAAAGGAACACACAATGAGAACGCGATCCAATGAGAGCATGTCCGTCACCTCCTCCTAAAGGCTCCGAGCCTACGAAACCCTCCTCCCATGCTTCGCAACGCACCCCACGCTTGTTGCGCAGGCTGGCCTTGGAGACGAGGTAGACCTTGCCCGTGTCCACGGCCTCGTACCACTTGTCACACTGCAGCAAGGAAAGCATGTGCCGGGTTACAGCTGTTGCTGAAGCATTGAGGAATGCATCAAGGCATTAGCTGGTGACAAAGTGCATATCTGGCACCCAACGGCCTCCCTCCTAACACGCGGCACTCCCACACCAGCCCTGCCTCGCACCTGATCATTCCAGCCGACGGCCCTGATCTCCCCGCCCTGCGCATCCAAGAGGTCAAAGGAGAAGAACCGGCCCTCCCCCCTGGCATTGGTGTACCTGCGTGCGTGACCATGGGAGAAAGGGGGTTGAGGCCCTGTCAGGAGCCAGTGATCCAGGAACATCACAGTGTGTCCCCCTCCCCCACCTCCGGATGTCGCTCTTGTGGGTTACGCGGGCCTTGATGGTCCAGCGGTTCTGGTAGGAGTTTAGGGAGTTGATGGGCATGATGCTGGCGGGGCCAGCATCACGTGCCACAGCCCCCTGACCCCGGTACTGAGGGGGCCCTGTGTAGAGAGGAGGCACAGCATGGTTGGCATGTCTGAAAAGTAATTGAACTGAATAATGCAAGGCAAACCAACTTGCAACCCATGACCCATTCTGGAAGTGCCTGGAGCCCAATATCCCCAACAATCCGCACTCTCTCACTGCATGTATCCTTCCCAGAATCCTGCGCCGCACAGCCCTGCCGTGCACACCTGAAGGATTGCCGTATGCCTTGGTGGTGGGGGGGTAAGCAGCAGGTATCCCTCCCCCGCCGCCGCCATACGGGTTAGCAGGTTCCGCCTTGGGTCCCTGCTGCTGGTAGGCTGACGCCCCATATGCTGCCTTTGGACCACCTCCAACGGCAGCTCCATACTGTGCAGCGCCGGAGTGGCCGCCATACGGCCCTGTGGCTGCGGGCGGAACACCATAGGCGCCGGCGCTCTGGGGCGCCCCGTAGGGGCCTTGCTGCCCTGCAGAGGGCGGGACTGCATATGGGGCTGCAGCTGCGGGCCCTGTGCCCTGAGGCGGCGCTCCGTAGGCGCTCGGCACAGGGGCTGGCACGCCGTACGGGGTGCCCGCATGCTGCGGAGGCGCCCCGTAGGCTGGGGCAGCGCTGGCGGGTGGAGCCCCGTAGGCTGGGGCAGCGCTGGCGGGTGGAGCCCCGTAGGCGGGGGCGGCACCAGCCGATGGGGGGGCCCCATAGGCAGAAGCACTCCCGGTAGGAGGGGGGGCTCCGTACGCGGGAGCCGGGCCAGTGGCGGGTGGAGCTCCGTATGCTGAGGCTGGATGTGCAGCATGCTGGGGCGCAGCAAAGGGTGCTGGCGCGGCTGCCGACGGCTGCGCGGTGCCGGGCGCAGCCACTACGGACGGGTCGGTGTACATCACAGGGTTGCCGATCTTGGGGCACTCTGCCTGCACCACCTTGCAGTTGAGCACGATGACCACCCTGCCATGCGGAGGAGTGATGATTGGAATTCAAAGAGTGACTTTAATGCTGTTGAAAGCAGATGCGGCTTGAAGGTATAGGATGACATTGTAGATGCACTGCCCCACCCCCCTCAGTTTGTAGTGTCCTTCCATCACCACCCCACCCTCACACTACTACAATCTGCTGAACGTACTTCTTGGTCTGCACAAACTGACAGATGTACTCTGTGATCTGGAGGATACACCCTTCCTGCAGCTGGTTGACGACGAGGTCGGACAGCTGGCTGGCCAGCATGCAGACATACTGGAACTCGCCATCGGAGAGCATGAGTCGGTACCGGGGCTGCCCATTGGGATTCATGACTTTCTTGACACCTGCATGACATGGAATTTGGCATGTCGGGAAGCAGTGCTACGCAGCGCAACACTGTCGTGGCCTTTCCGATGCCCCATGGTTTCCCCCCGCTCACCGGCGCACTGGACCGTGTAGACCTGCGGGGGCCCATCTGATAGGATGCCCGCAATAGCGCCGCGCGAGAGCTGCATGGTAGCCTTTAGAGCAGTCTCTGGGCAGGCAGCCTACAAGCGAACGTCTCCTGAGTGAGCGAGGTCGGCCTAAGGCGATGTGATCATTCAAAAGCTCGCTGATGCTGGGATCCCGACGTCGCCTCCCTCGCTTTGCACAATGTGTACAATATGATGCGTATATACACTTCTTGCAGCGGTAATAGTGATGGGATGAACAGTGAGCTGCGCTGCGGTCTGCTGTTTTCACGTCCCTGCTGGGCGTGCGGAGGCTCCACAGCAGGGCAGCAGGTGATGTTGCATCACGTAAGCTTCGCCCGTCAAACACCCTATCAGGAGACCGGCCCAGCTCTGCTCACCGCAGTCTACTCCACATGCTGGCAGTGGGAAATGATGAGGAGCAGCACAGCAATGTCACGACGCAAACCTCACGTCTCTTGAGATCATCCAGCCAACTGCCAGAGGAAGCTGCGTCATGGGGTACATGTGCCCGGTGCTCGGGACCCCTTACAGGGTGCGTGGTCGCTGTATCGGGGCCTGGACCGTATTGGATGGTTATAGTAATCATGAGTACAAATATTTACTAGTTGGCATCCACATACGACTCCCACATCAGGGCATTGTGGACCTCCGGTCTGGTGTGTGTGCTGCTCAGCGGCATACTCTTCAGCGCATCGAGCGTTCTGGTGAAGGCCATCGGCCGGCATGTGCCCGTCATGCAAATCATATTCGTGCGGTCCAGCCTCTCAATGGCCGCTGGCTTCACGGCCGGGAGGCTGCGTAATGTCAAACCCCTGTTTGGCGAGAGGAGGAGCTGGGCGCTCCTGAGCCTGAGGGGGGCCCTGGGATCCGGAAGGTGATACTAAAGCGGTGCAGACATGTCTGATCAAGGACCCCTTGTACTTGAAATGTACGGATGTGTGTATTTCTGACCAAGATTGAGCCTTGGTCATGTCATACCCGGCAGCCTGCCGACCCCCCCTCCCCCCCACGCTACCCCGCAGCATGTTGTGTCGGTACGCGGCGCTGACCCTGCTCCCCATGGCCGACAGCGTGAGCATCGTGTTCATCTCCCCAACCATCACCGCCATCCTGGCCATACTGGTGCTGAGCGAGCCCGCAGGCCTGCACACGCTGGCGGGCTGCGTGCTGAGCCTGCTGGGCGTGGCTGTCGTCGCCCAACCGCCCATGCTCCTCGGCGGCTGGGCGGGGGAGGGCGTGCCCTGGACGCGCGCGCGGGGCCTAGGCGTGGCCTTTGCGCTGGCCGGCGCGGCGATGGGGTCGGCGTCCCAGGTCACCATCCGCCGCATCGGACTGCGCGAGCGGCCCCTCACCGTCTCCATGTGGTTCCACGCCACCAGCCTGGCGTCGGCCGTGGCGCCGCTAGCGGTCGCCTTCCCCGCGGGACCTGTCCTGCCCAGCCTCCTGGAGGCGGCCGCGATGGCGGGGGTGGCGGCCACCTCCTTCCTCGGCCAGATCCTGATGGGCAGGGGCATCCAGCTGATGCATGTGGGCAAAGCGGCTTCCCTCAGCCTCCTCCAGGTCGTTGTTGGTGGAGAGTATAGATTGTCTATGGTGACCATATGGTGTGCTGTGATTGGGAACGGTGCCTCTGTGCCATGCAAGTGGCTAGACCTGTCCCATTGTCCCTACAATTTCCAGAGTATCAGCAGGCACGCTCTCGTTCCTCACAAACTACCCAATGGCGCCCACTCCAGGTGGTGTACGCCAATGTGGCTGGAGCGGTGCTCTTCGGCGAGCCCACCACTGCTCTCAAGCTGAGTGGTGGCGTGCTGATTGGGCTGGGCATCCTGGAGGTCAATCGGGAGAAGGGGGAAGCACCTGGCCAGCCTGAGACTGACCCCTTGCTCCCGGACGCCCTGGATCGTCCGTCTATCGCAGAGAAGGGATTTGGGGTCGAGCTGGGGAAGCGTCATGGGCCCCCTCGCAGCTGACTTGCTCGGGAGGGAAGCTGCCACTGACATCAGAAAGAAACCTGGTTGTGTTACAAATAGCCAACCCGATTACGTCAGCCAGCACGGAGAAGATCACTTGCTGCGGGGCCAACACAGAGCTATTTAAGAGCATACATATATAATTGTTACCATATTATTATTATGTGTGCATGATGCATGTTCAGCTTACCCCTACCTCGTCCACCGTGACCGTTCCCGACCCCTTCGAAAACGTGACGCTCTCTCAAACCCTCCCACCCCGAGGGGCCGGGTGGGAGGTCGCCCGGCGATGCATGGCGTTTCCTAGGTGATAAAATACAGTTTGTGTGGTGCCAGGGCATCCCAGCCGTATGTGAGACAAGTCTATCGCTCACAGACCGACTTGTGGCCCTGAGACGAGAGGGTCAATGCTCCTCCATTCTTGACAGCCGGATGAGGCGTAGAAACTTTGATGATGCTCTGGGCTCAATAGGTCCTTGCATTGCCTCTTCAAGACCCTCAATTGTGCTCCCATGCATTCTCTACTGGCAGATTGCTGTGGGACACTGGCATGTCATGTGTGGTCTGCTCGGGCTTGTGCTTCAGCGTCTCTTCCGCTCTCCTCAAGTACATCGGCCCCGCCCTGCCCGTGACTGAGATCATCCTGGCCAGGAGCGTGATCTCCATGACCTGCGCTGTGGTCCTGTCTTTTGCGCGGCCGGCAGGAGCCCCGCCCCTGTTTGGACGGCGGGAGCAGTATGGCATCCTGCTCATACGAGGCATCCTGGGAGCAACTAGGTGAGAGTTGCTGTGGCACAGATGCTCATTGGGCTGGGTCACGGGTACCAATGGTTTTTGAGGAATACTTTAGAGGTCTGAGACCAGGACAGGAGGCCATGATGTCTGCATGGACCCCTGAGCGTTCCAGGAGTCCTCAGGGTCCTGCTTCCTACCAATTGCTGGAGCCAGCTCAGCTTCAGCCCCGCATCATCCTGCATGCACCATCCCTTACAAAGTTCACCGTCCACTTTCCGACCCTCAGCCTCCTCCCTTCCCACCCAACACTGCAATCGCCAGTCAAATAGCGGTGTACCTGGCGGTGCTGGCCCTGCCACTAGCGGACAGCACCAGCATCCTCTTCCTGGCCCCGGCCCTGACCGCAGCGCTGGCGTGGCTGGTGCTGGGAGAGCCCGCGGGCCAGCACACCCTGGTGGGCTGCACCACCTGCCTGCTGGGTGTGTTCATCGTGGCGCAGCCGCCCTTCCTGGTCGGCATGCTGACCGGGCGGCCCGTGCCCTGGACGCGAGAGCGGCTGCTGGGCGTGGGGGCCGCGCTGGCAGGGGCCTTCCTGACGGCGGGGGCCTATGTCGTGATTCGCCATGTCGGCAAGTGAGTCGGAGGGAGAGGGTGGGACCGTGTGTGGGGGGATGGACTGGAGAAGAGGGGCCTCAGCCTCACACATCAGCGCATAACCAGCTTCAGAGTATCCCGCCCACCCCTCCCTCTGCAGACAAACCGTCCCGCTCACAATGTCGGCCTGGTTCTTTTCTGTCAGCTTCTTCACCATCCTGCCGGCTGTTGCCCTGTCGTTTCCCGGCCCACTCTTGCTGCCCTCCCCGCTCCAAGCTTTGACCCTGGTGGGCATCGCCTTGACCTCCTTCCTGGCCCAGCTGCTGATGGGCCGGGGCTTGCAGCTCATGCCTGCAGCAAAGTGTGCCAATGTCAACCTCATGCAGGTATGTGCCAGTGCTGGTTCTGGGGGTGGGACAGGGCATTGGCGTGGAATTGCTGGGACACCGGCAGTGTCTCGGTGGCGCTTGTGGTTCTCAATTTGGTTTACAAAGAGAAACGGCAGTGGGAGTGAAGCTTTTCTTAGACACTTCATCCATGCATCGCATCCCACAAAATCTGCGAGAAGTGGCGGCTGGGCATCCTGAACATCCCATGTCAAGTGGTCGAATGCCTCTCATGCCCTTCTCCACGACACAGGTGGTGTATGCCAGCCTCCTGGGACTGGCCTTCTTCGACGAGGCCATCAGCTGGCTGCAGGTGCTTGGTGCTGTATTCCTTGCGGTGGGTATCCTGGAGGTGAATCGCCAGAAGATCAGTCTCCTCAATGTTGCAGCCTCCGAGGGGCATGCAGCGATCCACGACCCAGAGGGGCAGCACCTGCTTGGGGCTACTTCCGACCAGGATGAAGACGGCCTGCCCTCTAAAGTGGTGGAGGGTGTCCACTCACTCCTGCTGCCGCTGAAACACGAGCCTCATAGTGGCCAGCAGGGGAGCCCCTTGCACTGAGCGAATTGCTGCTCCCAATCTATAAGCTTGCCGCAGCTTGAGGAAGTATTTGCAAGAAGTTGCAGCTTGAGATCTGGTGTCCTTCTTTCATATTGAAATGAACCTTGTGAGGCATCATTGCCCTTTATCGATGTGATAAGCAGGCGGGGGCCACCTCAGAGCGCTCTGCTTGTCATCTTGAGACGTGGGATCTTCGGTGGAATGTCCACGCGCCCAGGACAGCGTGCGCCGGAGCTCGGAGCAATGCCGGAGTCTGGCAGGGACATCCCAAACTAGAATTGGCAAAGTCCACATATCTGACACGTTACGTGATTGTGGACTTGCAAGTGTGGGCGAGCGGCACCCCTGGCGGGGGTGCCTCGTCGAGCGCCCGGCATGGCCCAGCCAGCTGACGAGGCCGACTTTCTGGAGCTCCTCATTGCCTCTGAACGGGTGGAGGAGTGGCTCGAGGTAGTGCAAAATGCTACATTGAGTGATACGAGACTCATCAGGGCGCTCAAGGACATGCTGGAGGCCGTGATCGCTAAGGAGGCATATGTCGAGGAGGTGGGTACTCTCAAGGCAGTGCTGGAGCCTGCATGCAGGCCGAGTTTCGCAGCTCCCATCCGACGGGCCCCTCATTCGCTGGGCTTGTACCAACTTCTTTTGAGTTCCAGCCCTTGTTGCTCGACTCCTCTGCAGGCACGCCACTCCAGGGTGGCGTCGCGCCTCACTGCCATGCTCAAGCGGATCGGTGAGGCCAAGCCACTGCAGGGTTTGGGTTCAGAGGTGTTTTCCAACTGGCAGACTTCAGGCCCTGATGTATCATCTTGGCAATGTGACGCCCTGTGCATGCGGGTCACCCTGCAGGTCCAGATCAGGAGGAGGCGGCAGACCTGGCCGCCGACATCATTGCTGCCTGCAGCGGCAGCGCGGCTGCCAGTGGAGGGGTACGCGGCGGGCCTGAGGAAGTCATGCCCCTTTCCTATTGGTTGGCTGAGCATGGTGACCACATCCTACATCACCCAATCAGGGCAGGCCTGGACCTTGCGGTGACTGTACTCCGCTCACAAATTCTGCAGGTCGTGCAGGCCCGATACGCCGGCGGGGTGTCCATCACCCTGATGGAGGGGGCACTCGGGGACGGCGTTGGCGCCAGGCTCTGGGTGGCGGCACACATCCTGAACAGGTGCCGTGCAGGAGCCTATGGACTTCTCCATGGCCGATCCCTCCTTTGGGTCGGTCTGGAATCTGCGCCCTTCCCATTCGCCCCCGCACTGCATTTTCTGCCGGCACGCTGCCCCCTCCCCCCCCGACCTCCGCCCCACGCAATCCCATGCACAGGTTGCTGGCGGCACACCCCGACATGGTGGCTGGGCGCAGCGTGCTGGAGCTGGGCGCCGGCTGCGGCGCGTGCGGCCTGGCGGCGGCGCGGCTGGGCGCCGCGCGTGTGGTGCTGACCGACTACCTGGACGCCGTGCTGCTGTGCCTGGGGACCAGCCTGCATCTGACCCTGGGCG